ACGACACTTGCAAAATCCACTTCTACCCAAATCCTCGTATCAAAAATAGCATGAAATTGTGGGGAGATTCATTCAAAAGCCAGCCAATTGCTGAAAATGCACACTTGTAAAGTCCTTTTCTATCCAGATCCTCATAGTAATAGAGCATGTGCGGATCCGATCCATCTGCGCCTTGATCGGGCCGATCCAACGCATAAAGCCCCAAGACAGACACAGACACACACGGAAAGACAGGCAAATCGGCGCGCACAAAAGCCTGCATGTGGCCTGCAACCTGTGTTTGTTCTCGTCGAAAGTGGTCGGTCGGCTAATCGGGCCGCCCGATGTGCGCTCAGTCTAACTAGCCCAGACAAGTGGCTGGCTCAGGCTGGCTGGCTGGCAGTGTGCACAGACGAAGGCGACAGACGTCGGTATCGATTAGCCCAGTCGGGCGGTCAGACGATGTCCAGAAAGTGGGTCAGTCTGCCACCACTGCTGCTGCTGCTGCTCATCGACCGGGCGGGCAGTCGGTCAGTCGGTCAGTCGAGCAGGCCGGCCCTGGAACGGCCGCCTTTCGAGGGGCAGTTCAGTCTGGGCCGTGGAATTTTGAGACAAATTGCTCTTTCCCGCCTCCCTCAAGTCTGGCCACGAATTGCCTCGCCTCTCGGCTTGAGTCTCCCTTTCTCTGGCGTCCGTACGACTGGGGCGACAATTGATGTGGCAGACAGACGTGCATCATTTGACGCTGCCTTGCCTACCCAAAACCATTCATTTGTTGGGCTGTGACAAATAAAATAAAATAAAACACAACACAACACAAAACAAAACGCAGAAGACAAGAAGAACAAGACAATGAAACAACCGAGAAGAGTCGACTTTCTTCAAGGCCCCGACAGAAGCTGGCAAAAGTGGCAGAAGGTGGCGGATAAGTAGTCTTCTGCCGACCCTGGAAGAGGTCATGCGGGCAAATCCAGCCACGCTTATACAGCGACAACTTCACGCCTCACCGGGCCAGATTAACAGAGCGATCATAGGCGAAATTGGCGTCGGAGGAGATGGGCTCCGCCTCGAGGATGGGGGAGTAGAGCAGACCCGGGATCGGCCGGACGATGGTGTAAACTATCGGCCAATCCAGTCTGGATGAGGGTGTGCAGACGGACACAGACAGACAGAGACGAACACAGAAGAGTGTACGGCGTAGTGGGGGCCACTGGAAGAGGGCGGCAGGCGGAGCCGTTCACAATCGTACAGTCTCTTCAGGC